AGGAAGTTAAACACAGAGTTACTGAACATTCAAATGTTAACTCTAGTAATTATTATTTTTTTATAAAAATATATTTTATTGATATTTTTACAGAGAGGAAGGGAGAGGGATAGAGAGTTAGAAACATCGATGAGAGAGAAACATCGATCAGCTGCCTCCTGCACACTCCCTACTCGGGATGTGCCCGCAACCAAGGTACATGCCCTTGACTGGATTCAAACCTGTGACCCTTCAGTCCGTAGGACGACTCACTATCCCAGCCGTGGGCAAACTACGGCCCGCGGGCTGGATCCGGCCCGTTTGAAATGAATAAAACTAAAAAAAAAAAAAAGACCGTACCCTTTTATGTAATGATGTTTACTTTGAATTTATATTAGTTCACACAAACACTCCATTCATGCTTTTGTTCCGGCCCTCCGGTCCAGTTTAAGAACCCATTGTGGCCCTCGAGTCAAAAAGTTTGCCCACCCCTGTTCTATCCACTGAGCCAAACCGGTCAGGGCAACTCTAGTAATTATTAATTTTACTCTTAGTTAAAAGATTTTTTAATATATTTTTTATTGATTAAGATATTACATATGTGTCCTTGTCCCCACGTTACCCTCTACCCCCTACCCCCCGCTCATGCCCTCACCCCCCCGTTGTCCGTGTCCATTGGTTAGGCCTATATGCTTGCATATAAGTCCTTTGGTTGATCTTTCCCCTTACCCCCACCCTCCCCTACCTTCCCTCCAAGGCCCAACAGTCCAATCAATGCCTCTCCGGCTCTGGATCAGTCCTTGTTCATCAGTTTATGTTGTTCATTATATTCCACAAATGAGTGAGATCCTGTGGTATTTATCCGCTCTCCAGTTCCATCCATGCTGTGGCAAATGGTAAGAGTTCCTTTTTCTTCTTCCTCTTCTTAAAGAATACCTTTCAGCATTTCATATAATGCTGGTTTGGTGGTGATGAACTCCTTTAGCTTTTTCTTATCCGTGAAGCTCTTTATCTGACCTTCTATTCTGAATGATAGCTTTGCTGGATAAAGTAATCTTGGTTGCAGGTTCTTGCTATTCATCACTTTGAATATTTCTTGCCACTCTCTTCTGGCCTGCATGGTTTCTGTTGAGAAATCAGCTGACAGTCGTATGGGTACTCCCTTGTAGGTAACTGACTGTCTTTCTCTTGCTGCTTTTAAGATTCTCTCTTTATCTTTTGCTCTTGGCATTTTAATTATGATGTGTCTTGGTGTGGTCCTCTTTGGATTCCTTTTGTTTGGGGTTCTCTGCGCTTCCTGGACTTGTAAGTCCATTTCTTTCACCAGGTAGGGGAAGTTTTCTGTCATTATTTCTTCAAAAAGGTTTTCAATATCTTGCCCTCTCTCTCCTTCTGGTACCCCTATAATTCTGATGTTGGTACGCTTGAAGTTGTCCCAGAGGTTCCTTACACTATCTTCATATTTTTGGAATCTCTTTTCTTTTTTCTTTTTCGGTTGGGTATTTTTTGTTTCTTTGTATTTCAAATCTTTGACTTGATTCTTGGGATCCTCTTGTCTGCTGTTGGATCTCTGTAAATTATTCTTTATTTCAGTCAGTGTATGCTTAATTTCTAGTTGGTCCTTTTTCATGTCCTCCATGGTCTCACTATACTTATTGAGGGATTCATTAAATTTATCGGCGGTTTCCATAAAATTCTTGAAAAACCTTATAAACGTGGCCTTGAACTCTATATCCAGTCATTTGCTTTCCTCCATTTCTGCCATTTGTGACCTGTTTCTTTGTCTCCCCATTTTGGCTGCTTCCCTGCGCGCCAGGTGTCCTATAGGGCCCAGTGGCTCAGCCTCCCCAGTTACCTGAGGTGGACACTCTTGGTGCACTCTTGGTGCCTTGGTTGTTGTAGGATCACTGGGAGGAATTGACCTCCAGGCCAATTGGCTGTGAGAATCAGCTGTGTCTGAAGTGGGAGAACTTCTGTGCTGAAGACACCCTTCTGGGGCAAGACTTGCTTCAGTGGGGCTTTGGTGCTCACGAGTCTGCTCCCTGAGTGTGTCCCTTATGGATCTGAGGAGTTGCAATCTGGATGGTCCCCCTCTGACCACTGGGTACAGTGGCTCCTGGATCTAAGGAGGTGCTAATTCAGCCTCTGCCTGAGGCCACACAGCAGGAGCCACGAAGAGGCTCAGCTGTGAAGCAATGCAAGCCGCTGCGGGGCCTTGGGCCTTCTCTTGGAAGTTCCGGGTCTGCCTGGCTCGGCTGCAGTTTAGGTACATTCACATGCAAAAGCCTCTGCTGCAGCCTGGGTGGGGTGGGGTCTCAGGGAATCAAAGGGCGGAGAAAGCAGCTATGGCTGATTCTCCGCCCGGAGTCGCGCGTCTCAGTGTCCCGGTAATGGCTGCAAGCACCTCTGAGGGAAAGCCGCCCTCAAGTTCACCCGCTGCCCGACAGACCAGCTTCTCCCCGTATGAGTCCTGGGTCCCCAGAGACTTCCCGGAACCGGAGTTCAGAGCAGTCGGGAGCTTGTGATTCAAAAAGACAGCCGCGTCCTCAGGTGCTGCCCCCTTTCCGCGCGCGAGCCGCCGTACCTCTGCACTTCACCTCCGCAGCTCCTCTGGCTCTCAGCGTGCTTTTCTTTCCTTCTAGTTGTAGAATTTACACTCAGCCAGCCTTCCTGTTGTTCTGGATGATGTCTGCTCTGTCCTTTGCGGTATTTTTCAATTGTTGTGGGAGGCGGCAATTTCCCGGTGTTTATCTATGCCGCCATCTTAGTTTCTCCTTAGTTAAAAGATTTAATGAACACCTATATGTGTCAGGGACTGTGATAGACAATAAGGATGCAGAGATGAATAAGATTTAGTTCCTGTTCTAAGAAAACCCATAAGGAAGTGAAGGAAACAAGAGTGAACAAGTCAGTATATATAGAGGTAGTAAGGGAGGGTAGTTAAGTTTTTATAGAGAAAGTACATTCTGAGCTTTGCTTCTGTGGGTTGAGGGTTCTGGGAAAATAGTATCAAATAGATATCAAAATCCCTTTTGTGGTTCATCAGAAATTAGTTTCATAACAGATTTTTTCCCATTAGATTTCCTTAACAAGGGGCCCCATTCTGTAGTCTGGGCCAAGAATAATGTATTGTCAGGCCTACCTGAGTGCACCAAACATTTTTTTGGTATAGTTTTCCTTGAGCAAAACACCTCTCTCCTTTTGAGTTAATTCAGAGAGCCCTTCCATACAGAAGATTGCATTTGGGATGCCTCTGTTTTTGCCCTTTCTCTCCCTCCCAGTCAATTTTCTGAAAAGATTAACATTTATGTTCTTACTTTCCTCACCCCAGCAATCAGGTCGAGGGAAAGTAGAGAGTGGCATGTTTTCTAAGAAAAGGCCAGGACCCTTTTCAAACTTACACTTTTAATAGAGACATCTTAGACATGGTGGGACTGGAGCTATATTTAAATTATTGAGATCAAGGGCAGGGTGTGAACAATGAAAAACTTTATGTCTTTCTTCTCTTAGAAAACCAATAAAACCATTGAAGCTTGTCTGTCTCCCCCAAGTAGTTAATGAGAACAATAGAATTTAAAGTTCCTGGTGTTCCTCTGGAGCTGATTTTGGCAGGTGATAAGCTGCTTGTAAAAGGGCTTATTATTTGAGCAGAGCTTTGGCTGCCTGACTTTTAAGGTTGGTTATTTATTTTGCATGTTGTATAACAGGAGCGTTGGGCAATGTTCAGAAGAGGCCTTCTGGGTGAGAGAGTAAGGGCTTCTTTGAGCATCTCCTCCCAACAGAACCAGATTCCAGCTACAAAATAAGGAGCAAGCTTGTATACAAGGCCTAGGCCATGCCTTTAATATAGCCCCTAACCACCAGGCAGGCCTTTTCATGAGGGGATAAATACATCCAAACTTTCATCAAGTCCTAGCCCAAGAAAAATGTGTGTGTGTGTGTGTGTGTGTGTGTGTGTGTGTGTGTGTGTTTGTGTGTGTGTGTATAATTTCTCAAATGCACACTAATAAAGTGACCTGCTTTTGAAAAAATGTTTTTAAAGATATATTTTGGTCATTTGCAATAAGCAGTCATATGTGGGGGTCCCTGTCATCTCAGTTATTGCAGATGCTCTGAAAGTTGGGGTTTTCTACTGATGACAGTGAGAAATAGCCAAGAGATCTTCCCCGCTTTGTGAAGAGTGCCAAGCCAAAATTGTTCAGGCTTTAAGTGTTGTGCATCTTATCTTGTGCTGGTTTTGTTGGCTCACTGAGATAGATCCATACATTTTAGAGATAGTGAATAAGGTAACTTCCTCTTCTTCTTATTCTAAACTTAAAAAAAATTAATTGATTTTAGAGAAAGAGAAAGGGTAAGAGAAATATAGAGATAAAGAGATTTGTTGTTCCAATTATTGATGCATTCATTGGTTGATTCTTTTTTTTTTTTTTAACACACCATCAACGTTTATTGTTCAGTTCTCCCCAGTAGACCAGTGCTAAGGCTAAGGGACTGGGACTCTATGAGAAGGTCTGGTATCCAGTGTGCCCAGTGACCCCAAGGCCTGTTGGTCCTCCCCCTAAGCTTTCCAGGTCAAGAAGTCCTGTGGAGTCCCTGGCTATGTCAGACACAGAAAAGCTGCCTTCATGGAGGAAAAGGACATATGGGGGTAGAGGCCACATGATGCCTCAAAACCTGCCAATTCCAACATGAGCATGTGACAGGAAGGAAACTGAGGCAAGAGGGTAGAACACAGAGGAAAAAGTGACAGGGGGTCTGAAAGTGAAATAGGGAGGACCAGTATCTTTCAGGCCCTGAGCCAGAATGGGGAGGGAGGGAGATTTCCAGGTACTTTCCCTGGCTCTGGAAGAGTGAGTAGGAGAGAAGTGGGGGTTCTGGTCAGCCAGGGGTGAGTCCTGAACAGCTCCATCCCCAGGGGTGTCTGCAGGGCAGCCATGCTTGAGGGGCTGTACCTGCACAGGTCCTGTGTGCCCCCGCCCTTGGTATGCACCGGAGGGGAGGCAGCTGCATCCCCACTGGGCCCTCACTGAGCCTTTTTGGTCACCTTCTGGTTCTTCAGCATCACATAGGCGATGAACAGTCCCACAAACAGGAGCAGCAGGAGGCCAGCAGGTAGTGGGGATGGCAACAGCATAGGCTGGGGCAGGAAATACTTGGGGATGACATGCTGGCTGTCAAATGGCTGGCATCCAGGGCAGAGCTCTGGTGAGCATTCCCTGCCTTGCCCAGCACCCCCAAACCCAAACATCCACCTCCCCCATCTCAGGGGCTAACCCTACTCAAACCACTGGGACAGCATTTGCTTTTCTTTAAGATAATGGCCATTTGTGTGCCTTGGTTTGTTTCCTTCCTTCATTTATTTAATAGTTATTTACTGGGCACTTGCCCTAAGCTAGTGCTGGGGACTAAAAGAATCACCCAGGTGGCATAGTAGGTGAAGATGATGAGGCTAACGACAATGAGGCTGAGTCCCACCACCTGGTCTGTCCCCATGGCCATTGATCCACGCTCCGCTCTGGAACACCAGCCCTCATTGGTTGATTCTTGTATGTGCCCTGACCAGAGATCAAACCTGCAACTTTGGTGTATCAGGATGATGCTCTAACCAACTGAACTACCTGGCCAGGGCTTCCTATTCTAAACTTTAAAAGTGGATTGAACCAGGGCCCTGAAGAAATTGAGATGGTCTTGATAGAAACTTAGTTGTGTCTCCTTTTTTATTTTTCTCTTCATTTATTTTTATTGGAACCTGAATTTATGAGGATGTTTTTATAGAGGCTATAAGCCAGCATTTTTGTTAGTTAGTGATATTAGTGAAATGGGAAGTAGCAGGAGGTGATTGGTGCTTAGGAAGAGATTTTAGGAGCTATTGAATTAATTGTAGATGCTTTATGGTATTTTGAAGATATGTGTCTTGGGAGAAGTGGCTTTTACACCTGAAATTATTGTTTTAGGATGAACCATCCTCCTTCAGAGGCAACATTTTATTGAAAAAAATCTTGGGAAATGTGAAATCAGATCATCCTCATGGAGTGTGTGAGTGTGAGCAGGTTAATTTCTTGCACTAAAGTCTGTAGCATTATGGATGGACCATTGCTTTGGCTCCTATGTTAGTCAGGATAGGCAGTAACAAATTAATGCAGTGACAGATAAACAACAGAGGTTTACTTGTTGCTCACATAAACTTTGATGAAGGTTAGTTGGACTCCTTCTCTCTTGTACCAACACTATCTGGAACACATGACCTTCAAGGGCACCATGGCAGAGAAAATGACAGCTCAAAGCACATGCCTTAATTGCCTCATCTTAGAAGTGACACACATCACTTCTGCACACATTTCAGTGGCAGGAACGAATCACTTTGCTCTAATTTAACTTTAAGGGAGACTAGGATATGTAGAGGCATACCTGGTATATTTGGTGGCTATTTACAATCTTTGCTATATTCTTTGGTTAGTGACTAACAATTAACTTCCCGCCCCACTCTAGGGAATGTATGAGTGAAGCTGATTGCCTAATTCTGTAACAGGTTGGACTGTGAACATCAACTTACCTCTGACATATAGTGCCTGTTTTATCTAAGGAGAGGAGAAGGAACAGGCAGTTCTCACCCGCTTGTCAGTTACAGTCCTTTTCCTTTTTCCACCTCATTACTCACCATGAAACATATTCTCCCTTCTGCTTCTGGCCTAAGAGTCATATGAACATAAAATTGCCCCCAGGTCAAACACCTCTGTCACTCTTCCCAGGCTCTAGGTATGACTGGAGCTGTGGAGTGTTCGATCAAAAAGTGAGAGAGTTGTTCTTTATGAGGTTGAGCTCAGAAGGTCAGGACAGGCTGTCCATGTCTGCCGTGGTCCTAATGCCTCAGGGCTGGTTCACCATATGGTGAACTCTCTGACAAGACTGAGTGAACAGAATTCCCCAGTGTCCATGAGTATCACTGAGAGGGAACTTACTTCTCTACCAAAGCCAAGTTCTCAATAGTTAAGGTGGTCCTTCTCCCAGGAGGAGTATGACCAGTGGAACCATTTCCAGATTCTCACTAGGAGTGAGGATCAAATTTCTAGAAGGGACCTGAGGTAAAAAGTGGGTGGCTGCTCCTCATAGTGTTTAACTGAACCATAACCACTAGAGTATAATAGTGTGTGTGTGTGTGTGTGTGTGTGTGTGTGTGTGTGTGTGTGTGTAAATCCTGTGGTACTTAATGATTGGTTGCCTGGCCCTTGCAACAATTTGCTTCTGTCATTGTTGTTTTCCCTTTGAATCTCTAAGGAAATAATTTACTCTTAACTTCCTTTAGTTTAGTTTTTTTTTTTTTTTTTTTGCAGATAGTTTCTTTTTTAAAAAAATCTTTATTGTTGAAAGTATTACATAGGTCCTCCTTTTCCCCCCATTAACCTCTTCCAGCCTGCTCCCATCCACTTCTCCCCTCCCCAGGTCCTTACCATCCCATTGTCTGTGTCCATGGGTTATGCATATATGCATACAAGTTCATTGATTGATCTCTTCCCACCCACCCTCTCCTGCCTTCCCTCTGAGGTTCAACAGTCTGTTCATGCTTCTGTGACTCTGGGTCAATTTTTGATCATCAGTTTATTTGGTTCATTAGATTCCACATATGAGTGATATCATGTGATATTCATCTTTCTCTGACTGGCTTATTTTGCTCAGCATAATACTCTCCAGGTCCATCCATGCTGTTGCAAATGGTAAGAGTTTTTCTTTTTTCTTTTTTATTGCCACATAGTATCCCATTCTGTAAATGTACCACTTTATTTTATCCACTCATCTGCTGGATAAAGATTGTTTCCAAATCTTAGCTATTGTAAATCATGCTACTATGAATATAGGAGTGCATATATTCTTTCGGATGAGTGTTTCGAGTTTCTCAGTGTCTTTCATAGGGGAGGAGTGGTTAGAGTTAGTGTAGATCAACCTGAGGAGTATAAACCTGCCAGAATTTCAGTTCAGCCTTCTTGCTTCTGACATACATACCTTCCTGAAGTGCAGGCCCTAAACCAGATGTAAGTTAGCCACAGAGTAGTTTGTTGGCTGATTAGCTAGTTGGTTTAGGAAAATGGGAGGGGTGGCTATAAATATAAGGAGGTAGGGATTAGGAAGGGCTGTATTTGAAAGAGGATCACGTTGATTAGTTTTCACGTTGCCTTCTTTGCAATACTCTGTGTGGGTCTTGTTATCTTGATTCTAGTTGAGACTAACCCAAACAATCAATTCTTAAATATAAATCACATCCCCTTATAGAATCACTGCAAAACTCATTGTGGAGAAAATATTTCTAAGGGCCAGATACAGCATTCACTTCGGTTGGAGTTTACCGTTTAAATTTATTTCACACATGTATTATGGCCTTTACAATGTGTTCTTTTTTTCTCCTTTATCTTTTGTTTTTTAAATTTATCTTTTAACTATAGTTGACATACTGTAATACTGCAATATTATATAGTTTCAGGTATACAATATAGTGATTCAACGTTTGTATACCTTATGAAGTGATCGCCATAAGTCTAAGACCCATCTGTCACTGCACATAGTTATTATAGTACTAGAGGCCCAGTGCACGAATTTGTGCACAGGTGGGGTCCGGCCAGCCCACCCCAATCAGGAGGTTGGCTGGCTGGCCCTGCCCTCTGGTTGAACTCCAGCCCAAGGGACAATTTGCATATTAGTCTTTTATTATATAGGATTATTCCCTCTGCTGTACATTACATCCCCATGACTTATTTTATAACTGGAAATTTGTACTTCTTAATCCCCTTCTTTTTCCACCCATCCCCAACCCCCTTTGCTCTGACAACCATCAGTTTGCTCTGTATCTGAGTTTGTTTGTTTTGTTTTTTAGAGTCCACAAAGAAGTGAACTCATATGGCATTTGTCTTTCTCTGTCCAACTTATTTTACTTAACATAATACTGTCCAGATCCATGCATAGAATGTGTCCTTAATTGTTCCTCAGTTGTTCCAGATTTAATAGCTTTTAAAAGTTTCTTCACAGCCCTAGCCAGTTTGGCTCAGTGGATAGAATGTTGGCCTGCGGGTGGAAGGGTCCCAGGGTTGATTCTGGTCAAGGGCACGTGCCTTGGTTGCAGGCTCAATCCCCAGTGTGGGGCATGCAGGAGGCAGCCGATCAATGATTCTCTCTCATCACTGATGTTTCTGTCTCTCTCTCCCTCTCCATTCCTCTCTGAAATCAATAAAAATGTATTTTAAAAAGTTTTTTCACATAATCTTTCAAAAAGAGAGAGAACTCATAGACATGGACAACAGTGTGATGATTGTGGGAGGGAGGAGGTGGAGGTGGAAGAGGGTATAGAGGGATAAATAATGATGGGGGGAAAAAATAAAGAGAAAAATATTTTAATTCTAGTTGGGAACCCAGCATTTGATGGTTGCTGTTTACATTTTCTCTTTCCTGATAACAAAATTTTGATTCTTCAATTTAACATTTTCATGTCTTCCTCTTCCTATTTCATATCCTTGCTCTTGATTGCCACTTTCCTCACTAAGTTTTCTCCCCCTCCCCAATATCAAATCCTAAGTTTTCCCTTCTTTCCATATCTTTGATTTGAGGTGTTGTGTATAATTTCTAGTAAAAATTTTAAGTGATAGAAGATAACTAACGTTTAGCCAGTTAGAATCTTATGTGATCTTTCCAAGGACTTCAAAGTAATTAGTCTTAAAAACTAATACTCCATGTAGTACTTTGTTTATCATCTCCAAATATCTGGAAACTAGGTAGGGGCTGATTTTACTCCTATTTTAAAAATGGTCAAATCAAGGTTCAGTGATGATAAATAACTTTTGCATTATCATCATCCTCCTGGTTGTTTCATGTCCAGACCAAAGTAATGAAATGATGACCTGTGGATTCCACATTAGTACCTCCATCCAGGGCTAAAAATGACACTGGGATGGGCTGAGGGAGACCACTCTGCATTATGTAGGGGTCAATGGTCTGGTAGAGGCAGAACTCTGGGGCTGAGGTCCCCAGAAGGCAGCGACCCCAGCATTTACACAATCCCCCTTTTATATCCTGTGCATAGCTGGGCCTATGGGGCTTGGTTCAGCCCTCCCAGTAGTAGTCCCTGTCTATAAAGGACGTGAACACTGGGGATTTAGCTGTCAATAATGTTATGAACAACAGAAATTTTCAAGTGTTGCTTCTTTTTTTTTAAATGATGGACTTCATTTTTTAGAATTATAACATTTAAATGTTTTTTAAAATTGATTTTAGAGAAAGGAAGTGAGAGGAATAGAGATAGAAACACTGATTAGAGAGGAACATCATTGATTGGCTGCCTCCTGCACCCCCTCTCTGGGGATCGAGCCCACAGCCTGGGCATGTGCCCCAACTGGGAATCTCTTGGTTCTTGGGTTGATGCTCTACCATTGAGCCACATTGGCTGGGCAAGTGTTGCTGCTTAAAGTAAGAAGTGATGGCTGAGAATGAGAGGGAGAATGGTCTTCTCTGCAGCTTAT